AGACGGCGCATGCCAGAGTGACCGTGAACAAACAGGGTGCCCTTTCCTTCCTCTTCCACCCTAGGGCGACAGGAAGAAGCAAGCAGGAGCAGGCCACCCCACGCCCTGTGGTTGGCGATGTTGTTGTCTCTGCCCGGCCAGAGCAGAGACCAGAAAGAGGGGCTCTGGGTGAGGCCCACTGTCCCGCACCTCAAAAGACTCCATCGACTTTGAAGTGGCACTGGGTTAGACCAGGAGGTAAATAAAACAAAGTGAAGATGAAGGTGCATTAAAAAAAAAAAAGAGAATAAACAACAACAGGGAAGGTCTGGGAGCTGCAGAAGCCGCGGGGTCAGAGAAAACAGACGTGCTCACAGCAGGTTCAGGCAAGAAGACCCCTGAGAAACTTGTCCTAATGTTGTGGTGGTGGGCGCACAGGCCGGGCTGTGTCAGGTCCTGACCTCAGAAATGATAAAGTGATCTCGGGGGAGAAACACCCCCAGAGAGCAACAAGTACAAGGCTCCCAGATGCTGGTGGGAAATGCTTCACAGAGGGGCAGATGTGAGCTGCCTTCTCCTAGGGGGAGAGGGAGGCGGGATGGGGTTTGGAAGAAAGCCACCTTTCCAAACAGGAAGTCCTGGGAGGGAGGGCAGGGCTCCCCACTGATGCCCAAGGGCGGGCACCTTAGTGCCAGTGACGGGCGATGCTGGGCACCGGCACCGGGCAGACTGGGAGCCTTCTCTGGAGACCAGAGAAAACACAGCAAACTTTCGCTCGCAATTCCAGCACATTCTGCCCAGAGGGCAAGGTAAAGGCCTGAGTCCCATGCAGTTTTAGGGCGCCCTCCAGGAGACACCCTCCACCGCGCCCACCTCTCCTCAGGCTTGGCGCTGCAGGAGGGAGAGAGGACAGGTATTTGCCCCCAAATAGCTACAGACTGCTTTAGGATCTCCGTGCCAAGCAGCTGCCTAAGCAAGACTGGGCCTCAAGGCTGCCTCAGGTAACAGCCTCCCTGGCAAGCGATGCCAGCACCCCTTCCACACTGCCAGGCACATCAAGTGAAAAAAGGCCAGGTTCCAACAGAGCGTGCACTGGCCACGGTGGGCGTAAAAGGGAAGTGGCGAGCTGATGCATCTCGGGAGTGCCTCCAGAGCATGAAGAGGTTGTTCAGAGGCGCAAGCCAGGAGGCGGGTGGACAGAGAGGTATGCACTGCCTGCTCTTTTGTGTCTTCCCAATATTTGCCTTCAGGGTGTGGCTGCATCACTTATTTTTAAAAAATAAAATCTGAGCTGAAAGCATTATAATTTCCAAAATCTAACACACAAAGCAGCCCTTCCGCACCCAACCGCAGGCCTTCTCTGGACCCAGGAGCTCCTGGCCGCAGCCCCGCTCTGGTGGCTGACCTTAATGAACTTCCACTTAACATCAGTGAGGAAGAGGCAGCAAGCGGGTGAGCCCAAGGGCACCAATGCGCCAGCTCCCTAATGAGCTCTTCACCAGCCTGCTAATGAACTACTGGAAGAGATCAGAGAGTCAGGCCTTGGGTAACGAGGGCCAACAGGGCCCCAACAGGGCCGGGGCACAAACTCCAGGGGAACAACGGCCCAGCCGTCCACACCAGCCATTTTATAAACAGAAAATGTGTCATCCGAAAAGCCAAGACCACAGAACTAAATGTGCAGAGTGAAAACGCTCCCGAGGGGAGATAAGGTGAGCGCTGTCTCAGCACAGAAACAGCGGCGGGGCTGTGATGCCGTAACCCTAGCGGGCCAGGCAGGCTCCCACGCCAGAAGCCATGACAGAGCCCTCACACCAGGCCACGCGAAGAGGCTGCCTGGCCGTCCGGTGCTCGCTCCTGAGGGGGTTCAGCCCGAGGTTAAACAGGAAGGCTTAAAAACACCTCTGTGCCAGCCACTTCTACGCTTAAACTGGCCATGGAGCACTCAGAACCCACACTGCAAAACAAATCAGAATGTCGTAAGCATCCAGAGTAGCAGAAACTGCCACGCGCAATCCCACGAGGCTGGAGGTCTCTCTCTGAGGGGCTTTTCAGAGTGGGGTCTCAGACAGAAAACAGGGGCGTGTCTTCCGCAGGACGGGAAGATTTGTGCTTCGGACAGAAGCTCTGGGCCAGGCCCACGGAGGTCACTACACCTTCTTAGGGCTGCCAGAGGTGGTCAGAGATGAGATGGACAAGGAGGGCCAGCAAGTGGGAGGCCCTTTCACCAACACGCCACGACCAAAAAGAGCAAGAAAGGGAGAAATGGGACCTGTTCACACACAGCAATGAAACTAAGACAGTTATTCTAAATTGGTTGAGCTCTAGAATGTCCTAAGAGAAAAATGAAAAACTCAGACCAACTTGTAAGACGGTACCGGTCAATGAACTGTGATCGGCTTAGGTCCATTTTCGAAAATCCATAAAAACAGAGAAAGGAAGAGCAACAGGGACTAGGTTTCTGCGGGAAATAAAGGTGACGGGCGTCTTCCGGCTCACAGGGAACTGGCAAACGGGGAGAAGCTCCCTAACCGTGAAGGTGGCCAAGGAGATGCAGGGGAAAGTATAAAGGAAAGAAAGGGACTCCCCCAACGCCCACAAGCGGAAGAGACCATCCCATGACACTTACCATCTGGTTCCCTTCAAGCTCAAGAAAAGCAATGAACGAGCCAGGTTATCAGGCAGAATCAGTCACACCCTTGGGCTTCTCCCCCACCCCAGTGACTAAGTAACTTGCTTCAATGCATTTGACACATGATCCTTGAACTTCCGAAAAGCACTTAATACAGTGGCTCATGAAATCTTAATCTAAAAATGTTCATCCATTTATAATCAAGCTGCATGCATCACGCTGACAACTGGGAGGGGAACAGGGAATGCACTTTGGGAGGCTGCCCTGGAGACTCGCACCATCGGGGTCTTGTAGATCTCTTTGGGGGGGGGCAGGGAGAGAAGAAAAAAAAAAGAATAAAAGTGATTTGGGGTCTAAAAAGGGTGTTGATTACAAGGGGGGGACTACCCAAGAAGCTGAATGACGTAACTCAATAGAAGACAGAAAGAAATAAGAAATAAGCGCAGGCCCCCGGAGAGCCCATGGCCTCTGTGCTCCAGGAGATCCAGGATATGTTTAATGAATTGAGGGGGAGGATTTTTTGCTGGGGGCAAAATCAGCCCCTGATAGAAAATATTGGGGGCGGGGGGTGTAGATATGAAGGAAAAAAAAAACATCTAAGAAGGCAACAGAACATGGGACTCAGCAAATCTGAATTGGTCATTATGTGCCAGGCCCTGTTCAAAATGCTCCAGACCGAGAAACTCAAACAACCTCCTATACAAGTCCAGTATTCCTGTTTGACAGGTGAACAAACAGGAGAGGTTATAGAACTCACCCAAGGGTACAGCTGGTAAAAGATAGGGCAAATTCAGGCACGCCAGCACCAAAATCTGCGCTTCTAACCTCTTTGGACTCTCCTAGAATTTAAACCCTAAGAGTGAGATACCTGGGCTGGGAGTGAAATTACAAGTCAGGCATTGGCTGGATCCAAAGTCAACAGATCCTCCCTGAGTCACATCTCTGTAACTCTCCAGACCTGAGTTTCCTCATCTGTGCCCTGAGAAAATGGATTGGATGACTATCTCAGGTGTTTTCAACTCTAAAATGCCGAAAGGTCAAGCTGCCCATGGGCAGGATAAGGACTAGTCTCCTACCTGCTGTTATTCAAAGGTTAATTTAATTCATTCTGAACTGGGGGGCTGGGTTGGGGAAGGTGGGCAAGTTGTGTTAAGGTTCTTTCTCTGCCTCTTGACCTTCAGAAGATTATCATGACCTCTCTATTCAGGCAATTACAGAGGGCAAGCGAAGGGGGTCAGGATGTTTTCTCTTTTGGACCTGAACATGGCTTGTATGAACCGGCCCTGAACAGGCACTGGGCGTGGGTCATAACGGCCAAACCTGCAGTCTTCCCAGCCCCTCTTGGGAGCCTGTTCTTGGAACCTGCTTTTGGATCCAGTTACTGGAATGCTCCACTTGAGGTGGGGCAACCGAAACAGAGGTACCAGGAACATTAAGAGAGGCAGACCACAGGGTTGTTCAAGCTAAATAAGGCATTTCATGCTGGCTACGTAGACCTTATCTTCATGGTGTGGTATATATATCTCACACCCACTCTGGAGAGCTGAGACTCGAATTCGTTAGGGTGAATTCAACACCCACCTTAACCTAATGGACCCCCAGAAGTATATCCTTCACCAACTAGGCACTAAAGGTCACCTGGAATGCCTCTGTGGGTGGAGACGGGCCTCCCAGTGGGCCATCCAGCCCTTCGTGGGGTGTTTTTCTAAGCGCCCCTGACAGGTGGCTATCACCGGGCCTCTGCCTGGCCTCTTCCAAGGTCGAGGCGCTGCTTGGGCTGCTGGACAGTTCTTTTGTGGGGAAAGCCCACCCATCTCCAAGAACAGTGCAGGACTCGGGCCCAGCTCAGTAAGTGCGCCTCCAAAGGGGTCAAAAGCAGCCTCCCTACAACTTGAACCCCTCGGTTCCAGGGGCGCCCCTGGAGCCCAGAGATGCAGAGGCCCCGAGGATCTCCGGGGCTGTCACCAGGCCCCTTGCCCCTCGCCTTCCAGCTGTGAATTTCGGACCTCCATCACCAAGCCTGGGCCGGCAGCCTCTCCCCGGGCCGGCTGGGTCCCCAGAGTGCGCACCGATGGGGCGATGGCCGGCAGGGAGGCCGCGGGGGGGCGGGGGGTGCTCCCAACCTCGGTACCCGGGCAGGAGGGACAAAGGGCTTTGAGGAAGGCGTATCCCACCCGCTGCGGTCCCGGCTGCCCCCGCCCCGCCACTGGGCGAGCCGGCCCTCGGAGCCCCGCGGCGCCGGGTGACAGGCCCCCAAGAACCCAGAGGATCCGGGGCGCGCAGGCTGCGGCGCGATGGGCCGAGCCACGACGGCGACCGCGCGGCTCAGGGGTCTGGCCCGACGGATCGGGCGATCCCGGCTCGACGCGGCTCCTCGGCGGCGGTTTACCTGCGCGTGGTGGACTACGGCGCCCCAGCTCGCCCCCGGCCGGTCCCCGCAGCTCCGCGGCTGCCGGCGGCGCTCATGGAAATGCAGCCGGAACCCCTGGCCAGAGCAGCTCCCGCCGCTCCCGGCCCCGCCCAAGCAACTGCCGCCACGCCCCTGACGACCGCTTCTGCCACGCCCCCAACTGTGGGAACTCGCCCGTTCATTGGACAGCCGGGCCGCTGCTCTACAAGCCCCGCGCGCTCCTAGTGCCCGAGGGTTAGTCTATTGGTCAGCGGAGCTGCTCCTCAGGGCGGAGGCGGAGCCCGAAGAGGAGAGTCCCTCGACTATTGGCTACTTTTGACGTCTCTAGCCCATGGACCAAGATGCTATTGGATAGACCTGCCCGGAGGGGGCGGGGAAAGGGAGGAGGGCTAGAAGATGGGTCGTGTTTGAGTTGATGGGGATGGGGATGGGGGCGGGGGCAGACAGGGCGGCGATGGTGACTGCGGGGTGCTCTGGGGCTGGTTCTGGACGGCTGGCATCCCGTGTCTTCTGGGCTTGGGAGGAGGGAGGCCGGCGGGTAGCCCAGCTGCGGGGTTCTGGTGGCTCCAGGCCGACCTACGACTCACCTGTAGCCCGGGAGGTGAAGTGCGGGGTAGGGAGTTGGAAGAGGGAGGACAGCTCGGTGGGTCCAGGCCGCAGGGAGGGCACGGGGCACGCAGGCAGAGCCTCTGGCCCCTGACAGCCAGGTAGGGCTGTGGGGGCTGCCGCAGAGTGTGGACCGCAGTTACCGTCCTGGTGTCCTGCAGCGCTTCAGGCAACCCTGGCCCCTGGATGTGTGGCCTTGGGAATCCCACCAGGAACCGAGCCCCGGTGGGCCTGGTCAGGTGGCGGGCCTGGAGCTAGTCTGCCTTCTGCGTACACCCTGACTTCTCCATTTGGCCACTGGGAGTAACAACACTGGTTGACGGGAAGCTTAAATGACTCTGGTAAACACTCCCAGGGCCTGGCACTCAGTGGGCACTCAATCAAGACTGGCTCCCCACCCACTCACCCCATCCGGCCTTGGAACTAGGCCCAGCGCTAAACTTCCATGAGCCTGGAACTACTTTTGCGGTGGCCTGTGCTTTACCAAGAAGGGAACACTTGATTGGCTTGAAAGGCAAGCTCTTCAGGGTGGATAGGGCCACCCCACGGAGGGGCGCAGTAGGGCTGCGTGGGACACAGGGCCGGGAAGACCGAGGCAGTTGGAGAAGGGAAGTGGCATTGGTAGCAATGTTAGATTTCCCCACACACATTTCTGCATCAGGACAAGGGCATCTGGAAACTCCTCTCTCCTGTTCACCCAGCTGGAGTCAGATGGTGCAAGTGAAGATGGCATGCCAGGCTCTGAAACCACTTCATAGATGGTGGGGGCCTCTGAGCCCATGCCCCATCCTGAAGTGTGCACAGAAATGGCTTCCCAGGCCTGAATTTAGCCCCAGGCCAGGTGGTCCCCACTCCCATCCAGGCCACGTGGATCCTGGAAGGAGAGAACAGGATCCCTTTGTATTTTCCACTCAGTTATCACGTTACCTTAAAAAAGTTTCATCTCTACACCCCAGTTCTTGTATGCATAAATAAATCTTTTTTTTAAAGATTTATTTATTTATTTATACAAGCACTGGGTACAGTCAGAAGCGCTGGAGGGTGAGAGAATTCACCGGAGCCAGAGCGGGGAGCAGAGCAGGCAGAAGGACCGAAGCACACTGCTGAGGGGAGCAGCGGGCGGCAGGAGAGGTCTGCGTGTCATGTGGGACCCTCCTCCGGTGGCTGGGGAACAGCCCGGGATCGAGCCAGCGCTGCAGAGGCTGCGGGCAGCTTCGCAACCCAGGGCTCAACCGCTGCGCCACCGGGGAGGCCCAATAAATAAATCTTTAAAAAAAATAGTTTTATCTCAACAATTTTTATTCTTCTGCATCTATTCCATCTTGGGATAAAAAATTCCAGGTTGGGCCTCCCTAGTGGTGCAGGGGTTAAAGACATAGCGCTATCAAGATATCTCCAGCCACTGCGGCCTGAGTTTGATCTTTGGCCAGGGAGCTGACCCACAGGGAGCAGCTGACCCACAGAGCGCAGCAGACCTCTCCTGTCTCCCCGCTGCTCCCCTCAGCAGTGTATTTCTGTTCTGCTCCTCACTCTCTCTGGTGAGTCCTTGTACCACACTCCACACCTCTGGCCTGTACCCCAGTTCTTGTATGCATAAATAAATAAATGTTAAAAAAAAAACAAAAACCAAATGTTAAAAAAAAAAAAAAAGTAAATTCAAGGTTTCCACAGCAAAGGATTGTACTGAGGGGTCCTTGTCATTCTGCCTCTTGGCATTAAAAGTTTGGACTTTTGGCTTTAGCCATTTGGATGTGCATTGTGAGGGGCACACTTTGCTCCCCAATTTTGCAGTTCTTGTGCCTTTAGTCTTTGAATACAACCTGGCCAATGCAGGTTTTCTCCCACTTGCGTGTGCTCGAGGAATCAGAGATGGTTTGTTGGGCGCAGCATGGCTCCGAGACCTGGGAAGCTTCTCCAGGTGAGTGGGGGCCCAGCCAGCAGCTGCAGGACCTTGCTGGCACCAGGTGCATCCATGGTGGTCATGGGCCAAGCTAAGAACCTTTCTCTCAGGTGCTAACTTCTTTTCTGAGTATTTCAGGGAGGTGGTCACAGGTTCAGGAATTTATTTATTTATTTATTTATTTATTTTTGATTTATTTATACAAGCACTTGGGTACAGGCCAGAGGCACAGGAGGGTGAGAGGATTCATCAGAGACAGAGCAGGGAGCAGAACAGGCAGAAGGGCCGAAATACAGTGCTGAGGGGAGCAGCAGGTGAGACAGGAGAGGTCTGCCCCGCCATGTGGGAATCTCCCTGACCGGCCGGGATCGAACCAACACTGCAGAGGCTGCGGACAGCTTCACAGCACTGCGCTCAACCTGCTGCACCACTGGGGAGGCCCAGGAATTTTTTTATTTTTTATTATGTAGACTTTTTCGGGGGCTAAGTCTATGAACAATTTCAGATTTGCCCCACAGTTGAGCGGCAAGTTCCCATTTATTCATCTCTGCCCACCCCCCTGACCCCTGCCCTGGACTTTTTTTCTAGCAATTTCTCTCACCCGTGAGAGAAACTTCCCTTTGGGATACGCTTCCCAAAAAGGAGTTCAGGCGACCGAGTTAGGATTCCTCAGACTAGGCGTCCTCAGCGTTATCACCACTGGGGACGGAGGGAGGACACGACTGCTGGCTGGTACTACCCGCTAAGGCCTCAGCGTGCCTGCCACCAACCCAAAGATCCGAGATGGCACAGGCCCCAAGGAATGCAGTCTTGTCCCTTTATTGTCACTGCAGTGCTGCCTGTGTGCCGAGTCCAGGCAGCGAGTTCAGATGACCTGTGGCCAGGCCCCGAGGCAGCTTCTTATGGGTCAAGGAGGTGAAGTTTGTGCAGAAGTTTGAAGTCCTGGCTGCAGTAGTTCTGCGAGCACCAGGAGGGCGGAATGGAAGGGTGGGGCTCTGCTTGTGGGGGAGAGCTTCCTGCTGGCTGGTCCAGACCATGATGAGTGACACCCTGTGATTTGGGCTGCTTCCTTAAACACCCATGTGAAGTTGTCTATAATAAAGTCATGGGGGGCTTTATACCCCAGACTGTCTTGGTTTATGCTTGTGGTCCTGGCAAATGCCTAGGACTGAGACCCTTCAGTCTCAAATGGTTTCAGTTTGGGTGATAACTATATGGTAAATTCACACTTATATATTTAGGACCCAGCACTGAAAATGGGCATGAAACACACACACACACACGTGCACGCGTGCGCGCGCACACACAGGCGAAAAACTGTGCCAGCCTTATAATCAGATACATACAGGGCGTCAAACAGGTGGTTGGTTAAAAATGTCTTCTTAGTCACCACGCATTCCTCTTTTTGACGTCATCCTTAATTACAGTAATAAAAATTGAGTTCTTCATGTCATTAACTCAAAAGGAGTCAATAAAACTCATGCATTAATAATCACATCACATACTGTTTCCTATGTAATTTCATGTTATTGTGCTATTTTAAAGCTGTTTACGTCCTGCCAGAGATCCCCTCATTGTCTCACCCTATACTTGAATGAACTAACAAGACAGTAAATATTTCTACTGAGCGAAACTTCCGGTACGAAAGAGAGAGAGAGAGAGAGAACCATAGAGCAAAGTCCAGTCCTTACCTAGAGCAAAGGGGAAATACTCGAAGCGGTAAGTAAAAGGGCTGAGCCAGAAGCCCCAGCCTGAAATCAATGACATGGACAATTAATGAATCAGAGGCGGGACCAGTTTCTTCTGATTCAGTTTCCTGAGGATTTGAACTGGCACTTAAAGTTCTTTGGGGCTGAGGTGAGGGTGGGACCGGCATGACATTGTGAGGGGCTGGGGGGGGGGGCAGGGAACAACAGGAGTACAGGCCTCTAAGCCGAGAGGGCAAGCTGGCTTGTCTACCACAGAGTCAAGCGGAAAGCTGGTAGGACAGAGATGACAGGGTCAGCAGGTCCAGCGACAGACCAGCGAGTGGCCTCTAAGCATCCTAAGCTCCCATATCTGCATATCCGCTTCATAATTTGACCCCATCTCTTACTTACCTGCTTATTATTTACTCAATAGTTTCATTAAGTTGGCTGTGCTGGAGACTGAGGGAGGGCTGCTGGCTTCGAGAGGGCAGAGGCAGCTGATGCGCTAACCATCTGCCTCCTGGACACAGGCTGCCCACAAATCCCCCCAGCAAAACTCGCCAGCCCCAGCTCTAGCAGGTTGGGAAATTTGCTGACCTTAGCAGTGACATGGTGATATTACAGGTCCAGGGGCTGTGTGTTACCCATCTCCTGGCCCAGATACTAGAGTCATTTCATAACTATTCAATTTAAAAATGTTCTTCCCTGGAGGCCTCCCTGGTGACGTAGGGGTTAGATCTCAGGCTACCACCACAAAAGCTCACCATAGTGTCCTGGGTTCAATCCCCGGCCAGGGAGCTGACCCACATGGTGCAGCAGACCTCTCCTGTCTCCCCGCTGCTCCCCTCAGCAGTGGATTTCAGTCAGTCTGCCTGTTCTGCTCCCCACTGTGTCTCTGGTGAGTCCTCTTATGCCCCCACTCCTCTGGTCTGTACCCCAGTTCTTGTATGCATAAATAAATCTTTACTAAATAAATAAATAAAACTAGCTGCAAGCGTTCATGTTATGTTACGTGTGTTTTACTACCAAAGCTAGGTTTTCACATCGAAATCCACTCTGGAAAACAGGAGGCTTATTGTAGATTGTCGATGGTGTGTGTTAAATAAAATGGGAAGCAATGAATCTTATCTCCTAAGTCAGGAGAAGCAATCTAAGACCATGCGCTTTATTTTATTTATTTATTTTTTTAATAGAGGCATGTTTTATTTATTTATTTATTTGTTTGTTTGTTTATACATGCACTGGGTACAGTCAGAAGCGCGGGAGGGTGAGAGAATTCACCAGAGCCAGAGCGGGGAGCAGAGCAGGCAGAAGGACCAAAGTACACTGCTGAGGGGAGCAGCGGGCGGCAGGAGAGGTCTGCGCACCATGTGGGACCCTCCTCCGGTGGCCAGGGAGCAGCTGGGGATCGAACCGGTGCCGCAGAGGCCGCGGACAGCTTCACAACCCGGCGCTCAACCGCTGCGCCACCGGGGAGGCCCGACCATGAGCTTTAGAAGCAGAAAGATCTACATTTAAATCTAGGCCGTGGCATTTATGATTTGTGTTTTCTTGGGCGAGTGAACTAAGACATTTCGTTCAAGACTTGTTTTTTTTTTTTTTCCAACTATAACATAGTTGAAATAATGTTGGAAAATGAGATCATATGCAAAATAGATAATATAGTCCCCCCAAAATAGTCAATGCTGTCTAAATGACAGCTGTTGTTATCACCATTTTTTTTTTTTTTTTTTTTTTTTTTATAGAGGCATGTTTTTTTTTTTTTATTTATTTATTTATTATATTTGTTTGTCTTGTTTATACATGCACTGGGTACAGTCAGAAGCGCGGGAGGGTGAGAGAATTCACCAGAGCCAGAGCGGGGAGCAGAGCAGGCAGAAGGGCTGAAGTACACTGCTGAGGGGAGCAGCGGGTGGCAGGAGAGGTCTGCGCACCATGTGGGATCCTCCTCCGGTGGCCGGGGAGCAGCCGGGGATCGAACCGGCGCCGCAGAGGCCGCGGGCAGCTTCGCAACCCAGCGCTCAACCGCTGCGCCACCGGGGAGGCCCTGTTATCACCATTTTAAAACAACCCTGTTAGGTCTCCCTGGTGGCGCATGGTTAAAGTCTCAGCTATGAAGCTATCGCCAGCCACTGTGGCCTGAGTTCGATCCCCGGCCAGGGAGGTGACCCACGTGGCACAACAGACCTCTCCTGACTCCCCGCTGCTCCCCTCAGCAGTGTATTTCAGTGGATCTGCCTGTTCTGCTCCCCACTCTTTCTCTGGTGAATCCTCTCACCCCTGCCCACATCTCTGGCCTACATCCCAGTTCTACACAAAAATAAATAAAATAAATCTTCAAAAAAAAAAATAAAGCAACCCTGTTGAGATATAATCTGCATACCACACAAGTCACTCACTTGAAGTGTACCATTCAGTGGATTTTAGTGCATTCCCAGTGTGCAACCACCCCTGCAATCAATTCTAGAACATTTTATTTCCCCCAAGTAGAACACTTCACCCATTAGAAGTTGTTCCCTATTTCCCCCAAACATCCCCCAGCCCCCAGCTCTCGGCAGCCACGAATCTATGGATCTACGAATCTATGGAATCCCCTATTCCTGACATGTCACGTAAATGGAAAAATATAATATGTAGTTTTTCAGCTGTCCTTTCACTTCAAATGATTTCAAGATGCATCCATATTGTAGTGTGTGTAAGTCCTTCATTCCTTTTCATTATCGAGTTGTAAGTTTTCTCTGTTCTATCTCTTATGATATATGTGATTTGCATATTTTCTACCATTTTGTGAGTTTCTCCCATTTTGTCTTTTCGTATTCTTAATAGTGTCCTTTGAAACACAAAAAATATTTCATTTGGTGAAGATCAATGTATCTATTTTTGCTGATGCTTTTAGTATGTGCTTAAGAAGGCTTTGCTTAACCCAAGAGCCTTGAAGATTTATTTCTCTGTTTTCTGCTGGGAGTTTTATAGTTTAAGCTCTTACATTTAGGTCTGTGATCTATTTTGAGCACATTTTTATGTATGATGTGAAGATGCTGTACTTCACTTTTGCATGTGACTATCTAGTTATTTCACCCCATTTGTTGAAAAAAATATTCTTTTTCCCTTGAATGTGACCCTTGTCAAAAATCAATTGACCAGAGATGTTTGGGTTTCCTCCTGAAGTCTCAGTTCTAGTTCATTTATCTACATGTCCATCCTTATGCCAGTATCACAACGTCTTGCTACCGAAGCGTCATAGTGTTCCAATTATTAAGTGTGAGTCCCCCAACCTCGTTCTTTATTTTTCAAAATTGTTTTGATGTTTTTCTGGGTCCTCTGATGAATTTTTCATTTCGGTCATTGAACGCTTCGACTCGAGTTCCCACTGGTTCTTTTGTTCTAGTGTTTTTCTCTCTCACTGAGATTCTGTCTAATGAGACACTCTCACCAAACCTTCCTTTTTCTTCTAGATGCAGTTGCAGTTTCTTTTAGTTCTTTGAACATATTTATAACAATTGCTTTGAAGTCTTTGTCTGCTAAGTCTGATATCTGGACCCTCTCAAAAGCTGTTCCTGAGGACTGAGTTTTTTTTTTTTATGTAATTCAGACATTCCCATTCTTTGCTTGTATCATATTTTTTTGGGTTGAAAACAGGACACTTTGGTAACGCTCTGCTCAAACTTGGCACAGGCTCCTCCCTGCTCCAGGCCTTGCTGTTGTCATTTGTTGCTTTCTGGCTTAGTGACTTGGTTGGACTCTCCCAGTGAAGTCCATTCCCCACACATGAGCAGCCTCTGATGTCGGCCTCAGAGGGTGCAGCCTTGGGCGTGTGCACAGTCACCTTAAGGTGACAGTGGTTTTAACAAGGTTCTCTTTGTCTCTGACTGATTTCCCTGTTATCCGCCTGCCGCCTATGGTACCACATCCGGGCCTGAGCCTCCACCTCCTGCTGGCTGGCTGCCCTCTTGTTTGACACTCTGGGGCATATACTGCTCCACAGTCTTGTCCAATTAAATGTGGGCCCTTTTGTGGGGTTAGTCTTATAGGCTAATTGCCACCTTAGACTCTTCTTAGACTCCTCTGTCCTGGGTTCTCTGATACACTTCCAGTTGGTCTTCGGTTTAACCAGCTCAAGGAGGTTCCCAGGCCCCTCTTGACAGCTTACCAGCAAAATCTCCATTGCTTTTGAAAAGCACTTACACCTGAAATTACCCCACAATGTCTTCCAATAGAGGCGAGAGCTTCAGAGCTCTCTATTCTCCTGGCCTGCTTCTTCCCCTAGGTGAAGGCTGTGCCACTGCTCCAGAAGGCAGGGAGCCCGGGCCTTCTTGTCTCAGAGTGACAACAATGCTTCCTACCAGTGCTGGACAAGAGCGTAGCCGCTGATCTTCCTGGCTAGCCTCTCCCAGCCTCGACTCTCTGTCCTGTGAGCAAGCTGAGGCAGAGTGATTGAGGTTCCTGTATTCTTGGGCCGCCGTGCCTGGGCAAGAGGGTTGGGCTTTGCAGTGAGCCCTACACCTCTCAGCGGATCTTCCTTGGATTAGCGCTTTCACAACATGGAGCCGCAGGGGATGAGAAATGCTGGCAGCCCGCCCCACCCAGGGAGACGCTACTAAGAGCTGAGGAAAGAGGAAGCTTGTGTTGTGTTCTTGGCTCACCTGCCTGGAATGGATCCTCCATCCGCTGAGCTGGGAGGGGAGGAAGGGAGAGGGCTGAGGCTCAGATGTCACTGACTCAAGCTGTTCTCACCCAGATGTAAGTTTTCTTGAATAAAGCCTTCCTAATCGTCTGTGTGCTTTTAAGACAATTTCCAGAGCTTTAAATTGCTGTGTTTTGGGTTTTCTTTTTTTTTTTTTTTTTAAGAGTTTTACTGGTTACAGTTGTTTCACTGGGGAGAACGTTCCCAGAACTCCTTGCAGAAAGATTCATGAGGGCTTTTTGCAGATAAATTTGTGGTGCAGGAGAGAGGGAAGGGTCAGAGAAGATTCAAGGAGCTTCGACTACAGAAGAGCAGGTCTGATTTGGCTCAGCTGAGATTGTGTGACAGACAGGCCAAGAATGTGGGGCTGAAATAAGGTGGGCCGTGGGTTGGCCATTGTTGAAGGTGGAAAGACCCACCTACCTGGGTTTGCTTGGACTGTTTTCTCTATTGGTGTATATGTTGGAACGTTAAGAAGAAAACCAACATTCCGTATGTCAGCAAAGGAATTGATTCCATTGGCTTCATGTTCTTAAATTCGGTTTTCCTTCGAGAGAGTACGAAGAGAGCTAGCACAAGGTCGCAGCTGCCAAGGTCTTGGTGCCCTTTGCTGCAGATTTCTGCCTCTGTCCCAATGCTGTATGCAATGGCTAAGTCACATGACCCCCACTCACAGCCACATCCAGCAGTTGGCCTTCAGTCCCCCGGGGACTCTGGTGGCAGACACCCTTCTTTTCCCTGCCTCACCCATGGCGTGGGCTGCAGGCCCTTCTTCTGGGTCTGATCCTGCTGCCGTGGATTCTGTCCACTGTCCTCTGCTTTTCCCCCATCCGGTCTTCCCAGGGATTTCACCCTATCTTAGTCACCTAAGCTGCCACCAGGCTGTCTTTCTAGAATCTCCTTGTTGAAACCCAGGATCAGCTTCCCATGGCCCAAATCCCAAACGCTAATGCCGAGACGGTTCGAGGCTCAGCAGGTCCCTGGCTCTCTTTGCACCTCCACCTCCTTCCCACTGCCCTGTCCAGCCTTCCCTCCTGCTGTGCCCCGTCATGCCTTCCAGTTGGCTGGTCATATCACCAGCATTTCTGGAATGTTCCTGCTGTCTCTTGCTCCATACCTTTGACTCCATCTGGCATGCCTATCTCCATTTCTCCACCTAAAAAGCCTGATTCACCCTCCAGGACTCTGCTGCAAGAGCGCTTCATCTGTGAAGCCTTTCCCCCTGCCCTGCGGAGTCTCTAGCCCCTCAGACCAGGCATCAGTCATTCACGCAGAGGGTAAGTGTGTGCGCAGCCTGTGCTGAGGCCAGGAGTCGCGTCGTTCACGCTTGACTGGACTGCTCTTATCTCGCCAATAGCTTTGATGTATTTATGGGGTAGCCGCTCCCACATCCCATCCCTTGAAGCCAAGGATGATGACTTATTCATCTTTGTACCATGGTGATCATTGGCACTGAAATGTGTTTGTTTGATTGAATTGAAGACAAATACTGAGAAAACGCCCTTGGCAAACTCTCGCTAATCCTTGCTGTCTGCGTGGTAAGATGGGGTCAGGGTTAGAGGAGATTAGGGGAATGTAGAGGTGGGCACCATTGCTTGAGAAGAGGCAGAGAGGGTGGCGCAAGACTGAGTGACGGGGTGAGTGAGGGAAAGGGGTATTTGGAAAGGCGTGGAGGTGACATGGGGTAGCGGGGGCCACTGGTGGGAGGAGGCAAATGACAAAGAGACTGGGTTTTCTCAGGGGAGCAGGGTTGGGTGTGCTTTGGCCTGGCTGGGAGACAACTCCTCGAGGCAGAGGAAAGGAAGGAGGCGGATAGGAAAGGCAAGGAGGAGCAACAGCAGGCCCCTGGAAGCACCTGCCCTGTGCTCACCTTCCTTGGTCTCGCCCGGCCTGCGTTTTGGGGTGGGGGTGGCTCAGAGTGGGTCTGTGGCTCTATACTTGAGGAACTCTTAAAATCCTGGCTCTGGGCCCCCCAGCTCTACTGATTGGATGTGACCTGGGGTAGGACAGTGGCATCCCAAGGTTTGAAGTGCTTCAGCTGGTTCTAACGAGGGTGGAGGAGCAGCGTAGGGGTTAGTGGCATGGCATGAACTCTGGTGGGCCTGACTCCAAGGCCCACACCTGTCTCCTGAGATCAGTGGTTCTCAGGTGGGGCCCCCAGAACTCTTCTGGCAAGTGGGGACCCCACTTACTTGTGAACCTACATCATCAGAAACTCTGGGTGGCCCCGCAGTCTGGTTTAACAAGCCCTCCAGGTGCCTGTGATGCCCGCTGAGTTTGAGAAAAACTGAAGTGCTCCTTCAGCTCTGACCCCCTTGTGAAGACCCAGGATCGGCTTCCCAGTGCCTGAATCCCAATCCCAGTACCCTGCTCCCTGGAGAAAATCAGTCACCTCCTACCAGCGGCCCCCGCTACCCCACGCCTTTCCAAATACCCCTCTCCCTCCCTCACCCCCTCACTCAGTCTTGCGCCATCCTCTCTGCCTCTTCTCAAGCAATGGTGCCCACCCCTAGGTTCCCCCAATCTCCTCCCATATGGGAACCTCAGGCTGGGGCCAGCCTTGAGCCCGGCTTGCTCCGTTCCAGGCGCTGAGCCCTGGGAACCAGTGTCTGAGCAGCTCTGCCTCTGACCAGGCTTCCTGAAGGGCCCTGAACCCAGAACTCACTGGGGTGTGGGGAGGGGGTGTGACAGGTTCTCTGGGCCTCCCACCTACATCTCTGATTTACTGGGTCTAAGGCCACATTCAGTCCCTTTCTTAAATCCCCCCGGAAGTGTGGTCATCAGCTGTGATTAAGACCAGGCCTCTCCACGCACCTCTCAGCAGAAGGAATTTCTGAGCACACGCCTTGTCCCAGCCCCTCCAGAGGTATTTCCCTTACAACCAGGGTTGCCAGATTTAGCAAATGAAAATACAGATTACCCGTTTCAGTGTGAGTTTCAGGCAAACAGCAGTGATTTTTTTTTTTTTACTATAAGTACATACTAAATAATCTTCATGATAAACTATTAAAATAAGTTAAATAGTAAAAAATGAATTCGGTAATTTTACTAGTAAAAAAAGGCAAGTTTAGTGCCTTTGGTCAATTTAAATTTAGCAAGCAGTGGCTTAAAGTTGACTCATTGTTCATCAGAAATTCAAATTGAATGTGTGTTCTGTACTTTATCGGGCAGCCCGACCCACCGCCTGCCGGGGCCTCAAGGAGAAGTTGGCCATAAGCTTTGGGGGGAGGAAGGCAGAGCTTGCCAGGACATCAGCAAGGAATAAGAACGAGCAGGTGAGTCTCAGAAGTGCTCTGCTGAGCTGTGTGCTCAGTTTGGGCTAAGTTCTGCCTGAGGCCAGCCAGAGACAGTCCTCGGGTTGCCGTGGGCAGAACCATGGAGCCTTAGTTCTTGCTGGCGTTGATGTCCAGCGCACCCCCTGCATCCTCCATGTTCTGAAACTAAGACTTGTGGAGGACAGTCCACTTCCAGGACGCTATCCCAAGGAAATGCTCTAAGCGGATGGACAGGATTTGTGCAGAAATAGAAACCATACAGGGCCTCCCTGGTGGCCTAGGGGTTGAGTCTCAGTACTATCACGCTATCACCACTGTGGCCTGAGTTCGATCCCCAGCCAGGGAGCTGACCCACATGACACAGCAGACCTCTCTCCTGTCTCCCCGCTGCTCCTCTCAGTAGTGTATCTCAGTGGATCCGCTTGTTATGCTCCCCACTCTGTTTCTGGTGAATCCTCTCACTCCTTGCACCTCTGGCGTGCATTCCAGTTCTTCTATGCAAAATTAAATAAAATAGTGGGGTCTCCCTGGTGGTATAAATAAATTAATCTTTAAAAAAGATTAAATAAAATATTTAAAAACTAAAGCAATTTGCAAAAAGTATAGAATTCTTTTTAAAAAATTAAAAAAAAAAAGAAGAAGAAAGAAATAGGAACCACACAATGAAGGAGCGACACAACAGAATTATCTAGACATTCAAGAGCAGGGGCTGTCTCACAAGTCAGGCCCTCGTCCAGGACAGCGGCGCAGCGGGTCTCTGAGGTACTTGATGCCAGGGCAGGACTCTCCAACCAAGGGAAGACAAAGGTAGAAGCGAAACAGCTCAACCTTAATAATTTGCCTCTTGGTAGGAAGATGATAGTTACTTCTCCTTACTCTGTCTTTGCACTTGGGTTTTTCAAGTTTTCCCCTTGCGCAATCAGGAGGGCAGGGAGGGCAAACCCTAATAGGAGAGGAGTGTTTGCAGCGGCACATTGAATGACGGGGTTTAGTGCTCTTGCGTGCACAGTGAGGCGCCCTCTTGGCTGGAGGGTGGGGCAGGGGTGGTGATGGCTCTGTGGGATGGAGAACTCAGAGGGAGGAAATGGAGAAGCAAACCCCTTGGGGTTCAGGGTTGAGAAACAGGCCGGGGAGGGGGGTTGGGGCAGGAGGGACAGGGCGGCTCTTGCATAAGAGGCAAAGGCTGTGCAGATGCCTGAAAGAACCGGGACCCAAGAGCCCAGGGTGGGAGCGGGACAGCTCTGCTCAGCAGGAAGATGCTCTCCTCTGAGGATCCCCAGCCCAGTGTGGGTGCAGATTCTCCTCCAGCCTGGACCAGCGGACCCTGTGGCCGCCGGACAACAGCACCCCAGTTTCCACTGACACCCGGGCTGATGGTCTTTGCAGCAGCTTCCCCTGTGAGGGCAGCCTGTCCTCCTGCCCAATTTCTGGGTGTCAGCTACCACCCCGGTGCTCAGTGTGCCTGGAAAAGCACCTGCAATTCTTCTGCCATTTTGCTTATAACGTATAAGGTAAAGCCACCCCCACATTAGAGTCAAATCCTCCAGCTCCTAAGGGGGAGGACCCCTCCTGGAGATGGGGTCCCAGCGCTTCCCCTACGTGGCAGCTCTGGCCACCTGAATGGCCACATGGGTTTTGATGCCTTTGGTAGGTTAGGGAACTGGAACAGGAAGTAATGTGCAGGGATCCTCCTCGGACAGATAATTGCCAGTTTGGGGCTCCTCCAGGTTAGGGGTGGCAGGTAGCCAGGCCCTTGCCAGCTGGCCCTAGCAGCAGCGTGTTTGATGAGGTTGCTGGTGAGTGTCTGGTCTGGGTAAGGAGAGGGGCCCCTCTTCCTGCATGCCCAGCGCCTGGCCAGAGGCCCCTGGGCTGAAGAGCCATGAGCAGCCATCTAGAGCAGAGCAGGGAACCCCACTGGACCAGAGGGGAGCATGGAGGGAGGCACCAGAGAGGAGAGAAAATTTCCATTTGGCTTTGCGAGCTCCTGGCCATGTCCCCAGAGCACAGCGGCTTGGCGGCAGCGGAAGCGAGCGCCCAGTCCCTGGTCAGCCCATGAATTATTCATGGCAGGCAAAGAGGCCTTATCTCCTGGCCAGCCTCAGGAGCCTGCATTCCCATCAGCTGGACACTGGGCAGACAAGAAGTTGCATTAGGGCAGGGATGACTTGTCCCTTGAGACAGGAAGGGCACTCTGTTCTCTTGAAGGGAAGCTCCTCCCAACCTCCAGCTCCTCTGCACACCAGCTGTGGATTTTATTGAGACATTGTCAGGGCTCAGAGAGAAAGACCCTGGGACAATGGCTGTGGCCTGGCCCTCCTGGTGCCAATCGAGGGGGGTTCATAACAGAAAAGAGGAGTCAAGGAAGGGCTGGGCAGCCCAAGATGCAGGTGTCCAGAAGCCCGGTGCCAGGGGGCTAAGGATGTCATCTCTCACTGGCCCCTGCCAGGGCCACTCCACAGGAGACACAGCTGAATCCTATGCCCCCAAAGCTAGACTGGAAGCCTGGCCACGGGTGCTTCAGAATGTGACGGTATTTGGAAAGGGCGGCGGTTATTGTATTTGGTTAACAGGAGGCACAGAGGGCCATGCCGCAAGAAGCACAGAGAGCAGCCACGCCAGGCCCCAGGGCGGGGTGGGGGGCGGAGCGGGCAGTGAGCCATGGGAAACAGGGAGAAGTGAAGGGAGAATCTCCCCTGTAGCTTTCAGGGGGAGTGTGGCCCTGGGGACGCCTTGATTTTGAACTTTTAACCTCCAGATCTGTGAGACAATACATTTCTGTTGTTTTGAGTCACCCAGTTCGGGGAACTTTGTTACATTCGCCCTAGGAACTCACACCCCCAGAGTAGACTTCGGTTGCCAAGACCCCAGAATCCCACTGCTGGCACCAAACCCTCTCCTGGCACCAGCACAGGCCTCGTCGCTGGGGTGCTCAGGGTGAGCCTCACCCCTGGTGTCAGCTCCTGCCCCAGAGCAGCCAAGCACAGGCTCCCATCAGGCGCAGTCGGGGTGGTGGCCACGGTGGGGCTGGAGCAGCCACACGAGCAGCCACACAGGCACCTGCTCACAGTGCAGGGGGTGGGCGTCCAGGGCCTGGGGGCAGCCAGGGTCAGTTTCCCAAGCTACTCATTCTGGTATGGATCAAGGAGTCTAAATCCTGCATTGGAACCTGGTCTCTAGGTTGTTTTGAAGGGTTATAAATATTAAATGGGCTTAGCAGTTCGTTAGCTTGATTTAATGGCTTAAAAATATTTGGACAGGGTCTTCCCTGGTGGCACAAGGGGTTAAACATTGCACTATGAAGCAATCTGCAGCCTCTGCAGCTCGAGTTCGATCCCCGGCCGGCCAGGGAGCAACCCACATGACGCAGCAGACCTCTCCTAACTCTCCTGCTGCTCCCCTCAGCAGTGTACTTTGGTCAATCTGCCTGTCTGTTCCCCACTGTCTCTGGTGAATCTTCTCACCCCACGCATCTCTGGCCTGTGCCCAGCTCTTGTACGCATAAATAAATAAATCTTTAAAAAATATATTTGGACATAGAGTTGACGAGTGTCCACTTGTGCTGTTGCTTAGGGCCCCACACGTACCTGGGCCTAAAATTGGAGCAGGGGACCTCAGGTGTCCTAGTGTAGGGTCCCTGGTGGACACGGAAGAGGACTAAGCCTTGGGGAGCAAGGTAGACCTGGTGAGCTAGCGGTTTACCACATGGTGCCCCTGGGTATATTTTTGTTTTGTTATCCCTCGCCTTTAGCTCAGTCTTGGAAAATTCCAGCTGGTTTTACAGCTCAGCAGCAGGGCAGCAGGCAGGGGCCTTCCTTGGAGAGGGAACAGTGCCACCCTGAGGCCAGGGTGGGAATGGCAGCAGGAGGCGCAGTGAGGCTCCAGCTGGCCAGGCTGGTCCCTCCCTGTCCGACTTTGTTTTCTTACCAAAAATAGCATTTTCCTCATAGACGCTCCCGGGGAACTGAATTGTCTGCTTATGATGAAAATCCGTCTTCAGGCTCCCAAGGAATGCAGCCTCCAACTTCCCCAGGGCCCTTGGGTAAACCCGCTTCTTCCTGTCCCCACAAATCCCCACCAGGTGCCAAGTGCCACTGTCGCCATAGACACAAGTGAAAGAGCTGTCCCGAGGGGCTTCCTCTCCAGCAGAGGTCATGTGCTCACCCAGGGGGAGAAAGAGTGTTTCCCCCTTTCACTGAACACTATCTGGAACTGTGCTGATGGTAGTTGGACCCAGATTAGCGGTGTGAACAAAGCTGTAATGTCGACCTCCCATCCTCGCTGGACTAGCCTCCCCTCACCCTGCAGGCAGCGACGGTTATTGTCCCCATTCTACAGGCACGGAAACTGAGGCCCATTGACCGAGGAGTTTCAGCCTCCCTCAGACAACTTAGTTAGAGACCCCGACTCTGCTGTAATAGGGTGGGGGTCGGGGGAGGGATCAGGCATGACCTGTCAGTTATCTATTTCTATCAGAATGGCTGATGTTCTTTCCCGGGGCTGCCAGGACAAAGGACCTCCAAACTTAAATACAGAAATGCATGGTTCTATAGTCCTACAGCCTGAGGTCTGAGATAAGGTGGCACTGGCCCCAGCTGAGCGCTCTCCCTCCCCCTCCGTCCCCCGCTTTGGTGGCCTGCTGGCTCTTTCCAGAGCTCCCTGACTGATGCCATCTTCTCAGGAGAAATGCCCAAACCCAGATTGGGAATCAGGGACCCTCTATAGCAAATAGAACTCCTGGGAACTTCTAAGACAAGCCTACCAGATGATATGATGGCAATTTATTTTTTTTAAAGACTTATTTATTTATGTGTAGAAGAATCTGGGATGTAGGCCTGAAGTACAGGAAAGGACTCACCAGAGACAGAGCGGGGAGCAGAGCAGGCAGATATACTGAAACACACTGCTGAGGGGAGCAGTGGGGAGACAGGAGAGGTCTGCTGCGCCATGTGGGTCAGCTCCCTGGCCTGGATCAAATTCAGGCTGCAGTGTCATAGTGTGATAGTGCTGAGACTTAACTCTTACACCACCAGGGAGGCCTTGATGGTAATTTAGAACTGACTCATCTGTGCCTCCTGCAAACTGATTATCCCTTGAATGTCAGCTGATAGCTTGCTTTGTCATTAAACACAATTATAACTGGTCTCAGGATTTCTCAAGTTTCACGTCCTAAATCCAACCAACCCTAAGCAAAATCCCTTGGCCAGGGCAGGCTCAGACCCCTAGCAAGGAGTGATGCCACGGGGCGCCCATCTCTGTGAACCCTGATCTAGGATCGAGGGGATCACTATGAGCAATCTAACTGAACAGCATTGTGGGGAAAATCCCCTTCTATTCTTGGCCTAGGGGCCTGGCCTCTGTCCAAGGCATTGTTCCTATGGGAAATGCATTCCAGACTCCAGACCAGCAGGAACTCCTCTGGAGGTTAGGGCCCAGGAATGTGCCCTCCTAGCCCAGGCTTCCCCCAGCAAGCAGCCCACAAGCCCCTTCCAGCCCCTGATCACCTCCCACCCTCAGGGCCTCTGGCCTCTAGCCCAGCCTCATCCCTCTCTTCCCTCTCCCTCCCTGGAGCCCCTGGGCCTCAAACTTTGGGCCTGGGCTACAGGGCTCCCCATTCTGCCAGGTCACAGAGGGCTGTGCCCCAGCTCTGCACCAGGGTAAACCTCTCAGAGGAATTGTAAGCCCTTGAGTGTGAAACTGCCTTTTCTCCATCTTTGTTCCATAGGGAAGGAGAGGAAGTGCCTGTGGGGCATCTCTGGCGCTGTGGGGTCACGTCAAAACAGGCAGATCAGGGGGAGAAAGGGACACATTTCATTACCTTCCTATGGCGAATCCACATGGATGAAGATTCTAAGGAAAGTGAGGCCAAAGGGGGCTTTGTCCCCAGCTGAGGACTGGGATGGGGGCCTGGGGCTTCAAGGAGGGGGACCCCACAACGAGGTCTGCACCGGCCTTTGCTTTGAATGGAGATGGGCTTCTCTGAGGGAAGGGATGTTTCTGGTAGTAACCCGAGTTCTGGGTTATTCCCCCAAATTTCACTCTTCCAGTAGTGAAGGGGGGATAAGAGTTTCTCTTGAGCCCGAAGGGCCTCAAGTGACCTCAGCTCCAAATTATCCACATGCCAAAGTGACACCTCTTAGGAAGGCCAGTTTTGGCCGTCTTGGGGAGACCTGTCTGAACATCTTGGGAAGCTTCCGCAGCACCTTGGAGAGACCTGGCCCTCTGCATGCCCCAGGAAGAGTCTGAGGGCGCAGCATCCATGGGGCACCTCTGGGAGCCACTGCTGAGGCAGCCGCACCTGCCCCTAGCGCCCAGCTCAGCACCTTGCACACGTCACTGGCTGGAGCGAAGTGGCTTGGAAACACCCGGCTGAGGTAGGACGTGAAACTTTCTGTGTGGCTCCTAGCCCTCAGGGCTCTCCATGGCCTGCCCTGCCCTGCCTGTTAATCATGTGACCCCGCCTCCCTCTGGCTGTGGGAGGTGGGCAGGGGGCAGCATCGGCACCCTGGCCTGCCGGGAAGCCAGGCCAGATCTGGCCAAGGGGGGACCCAGGATCTCCCAACTCCAAGTCCAGAGTCTGAGGGGAAGAGCATGCCCAGCTCTTGTCACCTTTCGTCGAGACATTTTGTCTCCTCCAGAAATCCCCTCTTCTGGAGAAAGTCCAGAAAGGGAGCTAGCACTTTGTTTTCTCCTGGCCACAGCCCCACCAGAGGTGATGTGTGTGGGGCCTCCCCAGAGAACACGCGGGTGGGTCCCTATGAGCTGGCTCCTCCTGCCACTCATGGGCAGCTGTGATGTATTTGCCATCTGCAAATCCCAGCAGAGCATCCCTCGGCCACCTCCGGAGTGTGGCTCGTATCACGAGGCAGGCCAGGGATGCCTAGGCCTCTGGTGACGTGATGATGTGACTGTCTCCATGGCGGTCCCGGCATGTCGCTGCCTGTGATAACATCAGATACTTTGCTGACACAAATGTCTCTTTTTTTTTTTTTTTAATAGAGGCATGTTTTATTTATTTATTTGTTTGTTTGTTTGTTTTGTTTATACAAGCACTGGGCACAGTCAGAAGCGCAGGAGGGCGAGAGAATTCACCCGAGCCAGAGCGGGGAGCAGAGCAGGCAGAAGGACCGAAGTACACTGCTGAGGGGAGCAGCGGGCGGCAGGAGAGGTCTGCGCGCCATGCGGGACCCTCCTCCGGTGGCCGGGGAGCAGCCGGGGATCGAACCGGCACCGCAGAGGCCGCGGGCAGCTTCGCAACCCAGCACTCAACCGCTGCGCCACCGGGGAGGCCCCCGCAAATGTCTCTTGACGCAGGGTCACAATGTCTCCTTGCCTGTCCCTCGTGAAACTTTGCCCCCCATTCCTATCCCACCCTCCAGACCTTATTCCTCACGCCACTGTCTCATGATGAGCTTTCACCGGCCGTGTGCTTTCAACGTGTGGCACAAGAACTTCTGCTCAAGTAGCAGAGTCTCGCCTTGCAGACCTGCTCCACAACCATGTTCCCACGGCACGACCATGTTCCCACGGCACGACCACGTTCCCACGCACGACCACGTTCCCATGGCAAAGCAGCAACAAAGTTCCCGTTGCAACACCAGAGGATGGAAGAGCCCCCAAGACAGATACACCAAAGCAGCCACCCCAGCTGGAGGCGGCGGCAGTAGAGTGCGACTGTGAGCTTGCCAAGATCTCCGTGCACGCCGCTGCTGCTGCCCGGCCCCTCACCCCAGTCCTTGCCCCTCCTTGGCCGCTGATTGCAGAGCCAGTGGTAGGCACAGGCCAAGCTGCTGATCGGTCAAGTGCTGAAATAAGAGTTGGAGAGGGGCCTCCCTGGTGGCGCAAGGGGTTGCACTATGAAGCAATTTGCAGCCTCTGCAGCATGAGTTTGGTTCCCGGCCAGCCAGGGAGCACGGCTGCAGCAGACCTCTCCTGACTCACCTGCTGCTCCCCTCAGCAGTGTATTTCAGTCACTCTGCCTATTCTGTTCCCCACTCTGTCTCAGTGGATCCTCTCACCCCCCGCATCTCTGGCCTGTACCCCGGCTCTTGTATGCATAAATAAATAAATTAAAAAAAAAAGAGTTGGAGGGAACTGTGAGTCCCGGCAAGTCAAGAAATAAGGGTGTGTCTCCAGGAAGAGGTGACTTCAGGGGTTTACTTTCTGGATTGATCAGAATAGGTTAGGGTTATGCTGCAGTAACAAGCACCCCCAAATCCCAGAAGCTTGAAACACCAAAAGTCTACTTCTCATGAAGCCAGCCTGTCGGGTGCAGGCTGGTGGGTGGGCTGGGAGGCTCAGCCCCTGGTACTCACTCAGGAGCCCAGGACAGTGGGCGTTTTCCTCTCAGCTTGCTCGTTCGTGATTTTTTGCAGTTGGGCCCAGAGCCTTGGATGATGGTACATGGAGCTTCACCCGCTCTGGCCTGGAATTGGCCCCCATGACCTCTGCTCTTGAGACAGAACCAGTCCCGTGACCCCGCCCAGCTATAGCGTGGAGGTGGGAGAGACGTGCGGTCTTCCCACGTGCTTGGCAGAAAAGAGGAGAGCCTGTGCATGCGTTCGACGCCTCCCAGACACTGCTCCAGCTCACCCCCTCTCTTGGGCCCCTCTCCTGCCCCGTAAGGCGTCCTCCTCCTGCATCTGCGAGTGTCCCTCGACTCCACATGTCCTTGGAAAATGCCCAGTGCTGTTCTGTGGGCATCTGCTTTTCTTTTTTGCGCAGCAGAACTGGCGCATAGGACAGAGATGCGGGTGTATGTGTATGTGAGAGGATTCCCCAGAGACAGAGTGGGGAGCAAAACAGGTGGATCCATGGAAATCCACAGCTGAGGGGAGCAGCGGGGAGACAGGAGAGGTCTGCTGTGCCATGTGGGTCAGCTCCCTGGCCGACTGGGGTTCGAACTCACGCTACAGTGGCTGGCAACAGCTTGATGGCTCTGTGTCTTTAACCCCTGAGCCACCAGGGAGGCCCCAAGACTTAGTATCTTAAAACAACAGATGTTGATCACCCCCAGCTTCTGTGGGTCAGAATTTAAGAGTGGCTTTGTTGGGTGGTTCTGGCTGAAAATGTCTCACGAGGTTACCTTGAGGATGTCAGCCAGGGCTCCCACGATCCTCAGGGGCTGGAGGCTCTGCTTGTCACCTCACAGCTGTGGGCTGTGGGGAGGGGCCGAGGTCCCTGAAGGGCCCTCAGGACATGGGGGCTGCTTTCCCCAAGAGCTCAAGAGTGCTCCCCAAGAGTACTCCAAGAGCATGAAGCCAGGAAGAAGCCACAACGCCTGTGCTGACCTGGTCCGGGAGGTCACTCGCTGTCACGTAATTAGAAGTGAGACTGCTAATTAGAAGTGAGTGGGGGCTTCATGGCCCCTGCAGGAGCAGACTATCAATTAAACCACCCCTCCCACTACTGTCCTCTCTCAACTCTTTGAAGATTCTTAGTTTAAATTCTAATTAATTTTGCTTCATGTGACACTCTGCTTCCCTTTTCCGTGCGTTCCGCTTACAATGGGCTCGTAGCTCGGGAATCTGGGACTTTGTCCTGCGAGCAGTGTTTCTGAGAGGGACCAATTCTGTCTTTTGGGATGTTCCTGGCCTAGTCTGTGTCTCTGATGAGTTTAAGGAGAGGGGCTTGGATGAAGCCAGACACGGAGAGCCAGGCACCCACAGTCTCCGCCCCCAGATTGTTCCAGGCTTCCCTGGGATTCACCCTCAGGTCCCAGAAAGGAGTGGTGCTATAAGGAAGACGCTTCTTCTGGGGACCCCACGTGCCTGGGGTGGGATGGAGAAGTGGGGAGAAATGAATGTGTGGGCGGGGAAGCTTGTCCTACTCTCACCAGCTTCTCCCCCAAACCCCCAGCAGCCCACTATCACCCCAACACCCGGAACCAGAATGATAGCTCCCGACTCTGTCACAGAGATGGAGCATGAGGGCCCTGGTCATTGAGGGGAAGAAGTCGGACAAAGATCACTAAGGTCTCTTCCCACTGTCCTCACACTGATGCTCCTCCTCACCCCCCAGAATGATGCCCAGCGCCCCTCTCCCTAAGCAACACCGAACACATGCACACTCATGTGAATTCACACAGCTCAGTCATCTGAAAAACTCTGGCTGCTTTCAGATTTGCTCCTCAGATCCAAATTTCTCTTTGCTTCTCCAGAGCCGACTTTGTGGATAGGCGCTTGTAGCCCTTGCCAGATTGCCATCTCGTAAGGAATCATAGTGCTGCCCCTTCTTTCTGTCCTCTGAATGAGTCTCTATAAAATACTGGGGGTAGATTCGATCAGAGGCAAATACCCAAATGCCTGCTGGAGCTAATTGGATGTCACTGTGGAGTGAAAGTGGCTATGGGTGAGGCAGCAGGGAGTAGTGGGGCCTGAGGCAAATTATAATATGTACATATATGCTTTCTCCTCTGAGGACAGTAATGTCTGTTGCCAGCCAGAAAAGTGGGCCCATGTCATCAGATAGCAAGAATGGAAGATTTGTTGGGAAATTTCTTCATTTATTTAAAATGTCTGAAGGTTGAATTCAGCTAAGAGTAGTGTGTTTTTTAGTCCCTAAATTTCTTTTCAGAAGTACATGAGGGTCTGATCACAATAGTGGTAGCAATTGCATAGTCTTGCACATGGTACAGGATTATTAGAGTCTAGGATATCCTCCCTTACAACCCTTCTCCCCACATCCACTCCCACATCCCCCCCACCCCCCACCCCAGGAATCTGCCAGGGTAAGAACTTTCTCAATGGAAGTGAGGCCTGTCTGGCACAACCCATTCTTAACAAGCCCAAACTGAGCACTGTCCATTTTACCCGCCTGCTTTTATTAGAATCTGCTTTTTCCTCTTTTTTTTTTTTCTTTAAGATTTATTTATGTATGTGTACATGAGCTGAGGCACAGGTCAGAGACGTGGGAGGTAAGAGGACTCACCAAAGACAGAGTAGGGAACAGAACAGACAGACTGACTGAAACACACTGCTGAGGGGAGCAGCGGGCGAGACAGGAGAGGTCTGCTGCGCCATGTGGGTTGCTCCCTGGCCAGCAGGGGATCAAACTCGTGCTTCAGAGGCTGCGGATTGGTTCATAGTGCAGTGCTCAACCCCTTGCGCCACCAGGAAGGCCCTGCTTTTTCCTCTTTTGGAAAATTAGAATAACATCTGCCCATTTCCGGTCAGGTGGAGCATTGCCTATTCTCAAAAAATTCCTCAAAGATGACAAGCATTGGCTAGCATTGGAATGTAACCAAAGCTGTGGAGTGAAAGTGGTTATGGGTGAGGTTGCGTTCTTGTTGACTTACTAGGGTTTAAATTTTTTTTTTACTTTCAAAAACTCAGCATCAGTCCTTGTTCTATGCTTGATCCCATTCCCCCCGGGGCTCCTATCACAGGTTTTCAGAGTCCGGTCTGGATTCTAAACTTGAGGTCCAGTTTCAACTCTGTTCTTGCTTGTCTTCTTCCCCAAACTCCATCAAATCAACATAGGATTTCATCAAAGTTGTGGGGTCTTAGGCAAATCACCCAATCTCTATGCACCCCAGTGCTCCCTTTTATAAAATGGGGGGCATGGAGCAGGTGGTCAACAGCCCACTGCTAGTGCTGAGTCTGGGGCCAGGGGTCCCTCAACAATTAGTTAAAATCATGAGCCTTTGTTCCAGAAAAAACTATCACAAGCTCTGTCCTGGTTTCCTTTGCTTTGTCGTCAAGACCACCATTCCCCTCCCACAACCTTCTTATGGGGAACATTTCTTCCCCACTCCAACTATTTGCACTCCAATTATTTGCACTCCAACTATTTGCACCACACCCACGATAACGATAACCCAACCGGCAGTCAAGTGCTTTTCTGGTTGTTTTTCTTCCCTTGAATGGTCCCAGAGGGAAGATGTCTTTTCCCCTCTGGTCAAGAGCCAAGGGTGAGTTCAGATCTGCCTGGGGCCATATTCTTGTGTGTGTGTTTTTTTTTAAAGATTTATTTATTTATGCATACAAGATCTGGGGTACAGGCCAGAGGTGTGGGGGGTAAGAGGATTTACCAGAGACAGAGTGGGGAGCAGAACAGTCAGACTGACTGAAATATACTGCTGAGGGGAGCAGCAGGTGAGACAGGAGAGGTCTACTGCACCATGTGTG